CCCCCCAAAAACCTGCTTTCCCTGGACGACCACTGCCAGCTGGCCGGACTGTCACCCAGCGCCCCGCAGTGACGGTATGCACCATGTACCAAATGACTGTCACTTGTTGCCTGATCAGAGGTGGTTTGTCTCTGAATGTGTTTTTTGGCACGCTGAGATTGAAAACTTCATAGGGAAAGGGGCCGAGGCACCAACGGGTTAGTGTGCCAGCTACGCTCCAGATCCGAATTCAGGAAGCAGTAAAAACCGTGCCAGACTAGCCCTGCTTCTTCAGGATCCATGAAGGCGTCTGCTGAGGCAATCCGTGGCGGTTGGTGCCCGCATACGCGCGCTGCAGGGTACTTCTGAGTGTGAAGTACATTCTTAGGTGACCTTGTGCAACCTGAGAACTGATTTAACGGAGCAGGCACATCCAAGACGGCAAAGCCAGTGAGACCCAGCTGGGTCCAAAACCACAGCCCCACTTGCGTCACCCGGCAGCTCATCTCTGCTGGTGCCTTGAAATGTCACATTAAGACTCAAAACAATGGTGGCGAGGACCGCGTGGGGCCAAGCTAGGCTGTCAGGTTGTCCAGAGGGTCGGCAACCCTCTATCATGGTAAAATGGTATGGCGTGCCAAGCAACGCGGACAGGTACGATGGAGTTCTCGTCAACATCACGACGGGAGTTCTACTCAACTGTTGCAGGTGGCGGCGTATGAGCTGGCAACATAAGCCGCCATTGGTCATAGGTCAAAGCCAGTGCACAGGGAAAGGCAAGGGAGGTGCGCGCAGCAGGGTTGTGTGCTGCGGCTGCGTCACGCGCGTTGATGATACTCAGTACGTCCTCACCAAACATTTATGTTGCTTCTATGCAGGAATCACACCCTGATGTACCCCATGAATGTTTGCGCGAGGTGCAAGGTTGGGGTGGATGCCAGACCGGCGCAGCCGGCACCCGCGTCACTTGGACTGCCGCCCTGATGCATGCAATGTCTCCGCCATATATGGTTGCACTCCACCGCACTTGAATAACTGTGTTGCCATCCACCTCGCTACACCAAACCCCACGAGATCGCGACGATGCTCCGCACAGCAATCAGGCGGGGGCAACAGCCTCTCCTGCTGCACCTGCGGAGCACGCTTGGGCTCCGTGGTTTTGCCTCAAGTGATGAGACGGTGAGGCCCGCTCGTGAGCCTTGCAGATCACCTGTGACATCCGCTGAAAGCTTACGTCTAACGCCGCGTCTATCTCCAGGACGTGGTCGTGATCGGTGGGGGTCCCGGAGGATACGTTGCTGCCATCAAGGCGGGCCAGCTTGGCCTCAAGGTGGCATGCGTGGAGGGGCGCGGCTCCCTGGGGGGCACATGCCTGAACGTTGGCTGCATCCCCTCCAAGGTGCGCTCTCTGCTTTTTAGGAGCGATCGCTTGGAAGTTATGGACTATCCGGCACCACTTTAATGGCTTTGTGGCTGCTGGCATAGCCAACCAGCAGCGATAGCAGAAGAAGGTCGGCAGTGCAAGCGCTCCCGCGAGGACAACAGCGGGCCCGTGCGCAAGTATCTTACAGTTGTGCCTGTGACGATGCGACCCCGGTCGCCAGGCAGATAGCAGCTTGTGACGGGCAGGGAACGGGGGCCGGCGTCAGCCGCAGCATCTCCGTAACCAGGCACGCCCTCGCCACGGCACCTGCGTCGCCGCACACGCGGGCCCCGCCAGGTGTGACGCGCAGCGGCAGAGTGCACCCTCCACCTCCTCCCCCCAAAAAGACGCCCGGCCCTCCCTTCAACGACCCTCCGAAACGCCTCTCTCGTCTGCGGCGCAGGCGCTGCTCAACTCGAGCCACGCGTATGCCGACGCCAAGGACCACATGAAGGCCATGGGCGTCACCTTCAGCGGCGTCAGCTACGACTGGGCCACGATGCAGAAGGCCAAGGACGACACAGTGGCGGGCCTCACAAAGGGAATAGAGGGCCTCTTCAAGAAGAACAAGGCAGGCAGCCGCGCGCGCGCGGGGGCGCCTGCCCCGTGACCCCGCTCGGGCGCTGGCGCGACCAACATGCACACGTGGCGCGCGCTCCGGCCCGAGGGGGGTCGGGGCTTGGGGTTGTTTATTGCGGGAGAGTTGCGGTTGCGGCTCGATGTCGTGGGGTGCCGGGCAAGGGGTGCTCGTTCGGTGTGCCGCGAGAGGGTGGGGCCCCTTGCGCCCGCGGTGGGGTCGCCGCACACCTTCAGGCACCGCTCGCGCCGCGCTGCCACGCGCAGCAAAGGGGGCTGGCTGCATGCTGGCGCCCCAGGGAGGTTTGCGGGCCGGGCTGCACCGGAACGCCACCCGCTTCCCCATCAGCCCTAGGCGCGGCCGCACCCACTTTTCCCCCATCGTGGATCCACAAACCTCTCACCCACGTTGGCCCCCTCCCCACCCTCCATCCCCCCCACTACAAAGGTTGAGTACGTCAAGGGGTGGGCCACCATCAAGGGCCCAAACTCAGTGGAGGTGGCCCTGCCGGGCGGCGGCACCAAGGAGCTGGCCACCAAGAACATCCTGGTGGCCACGGGCAGCGAGGTCACGCCGCTGCCGGGGGTGCCCGTGGAC